GCAGGTTTACCGCACAGAATTCATTGCTAAATGGAGGAAGCTAGGCCTGGACGTGATTCTTTGTCCTATGCTGGGTCCAGCCTTTAACCATGGCTATGCTGGGAAGCTATTTGGTAATCTCTATTTAGATGTCCCTGGATGCACACGTGTATTCATAAGGCAGAGCTAGAGCAACATATTTTGTTCTCTCGGACATTCCCTGAACAATGTGCAGTGCCTTGTTTTTCCTGCGGCTGCAGAAGGGAAGGAGACGTCTCCTCTGGATGGGTCTTTTGTGTCACACAGGCTGCAGGTTTTCGGGTTATTGTGGAGTAGCAATTAGCATCACATCTGCTCCGGTCATTACGGAGTGACCTGTCCCTGGACTGTCCATCCTTCCCTGAGGAAGCTACTCCAGGATCAGAGGGGCGGCAGACCTTAGCACAAGGGCCAGGCTCTTCCAAACGTGGCCTCCTCGCATTTCCCAGTACTCAGGCAACAGAGCTGCTATTTTGCTATTTGCAGTGACTTGCAGAGACGCAGTTTGATTGCTTCTAGCAAACAGTCTGAATTCCTCATCTTTTTGGCAACAACCCTTTCAGAGCCAAAGTCCCCAGAACTGAGCTGGAAAACTGGATTATCTTGAAAACCTAGCCAGGATTATCCCTGGGGCACGGAGCAAATGGAGTCAGGATATGTCTGAACTAGATCAAGGATTTGGCTCTCTCCCAGAGTGGATTAATCCTCCACCTCACTCATCATGAAAGCCGTGGGGTTCTCTCCGGTTTCCGCACATGTGTGGCCCCGAAACTTTCCTGCCAGAAGCCCCATGGTTTCCTCAGCTTCAGCACTTCCAATCCACAATTCACCCAGCCCCAATTATCATCTGAAAATCCCTGCTGGCCCAGCACACTGAACCATGCCATGTTGTGTGTTCTGTGTGATCTCTTCCAGCTGCTACCTCCTATACCAATTTATACAACGTCATAAACTTCCCTGCTGGAGTGGTGCCAGTGAGCACGGTCACGAGAGCCGATGAAGAAGAACTGAAGCATTACAGAGGATACTATGGGGATCCTTGGGATAAGAGGCTGAAAGAGGTCAGCAGGGGAAATGTTTAAGTCATATTTAATTCATAGCAGAAGGCTCTAACTGTCCTGTTGGCAACATGATTCATTTTTCTCAAGGCCTCTCTCATCTCCTGATAAGAGGAGTTTCTTTAACAACAAAGTTGCATGCACTGTGGTGGGACCCTGATTGTGGTGCAGCTAGCCTGGTTTTCAACTACTAGAAGCCTGCCCTCTCATACGTCCTCCTTGGTCTCTCTCCCCTTTAATGTCAGGAAGCTTCATTCCCTCATGTGGCTCCCCCGGGGCTCTCACTCACACCACACCGACCACTTTTTCTCTGCTGCAGGCTGTGGAAGGGGCCGTGGGGCTGCCCGTGGCCGTGCAGTGCGTGGCTTTGCCATGGCAGGAGGAGCTCTGCCTCCGCTTCATGAAGGAGGTGGAGACACTCACCCAGGGCATGAGGAGAAACGTGTGACTTCTTCTGGCCTGCCTTCACCATGAAGATGCTTTATCGCACCCTGCCCATCACTCCAGACAGTCTCCTTGATGCACAAAGCAAGCTATGGGCTGTAGGTAATGATCTGCAGACTCTGAATCACTGTTTCCCTAAACTGGCAATAAAAACTGTTTTAAAACGGTCAGCAAAATCTCCTCTCAGTTCAAACAGTGTTGTTTGTTAGAGCTAACAATGAGCCAAAGGTTACTACCAAAATTAATGAGTTAATGTTGGACCGAAGGAGTTCAGTAATGACCCTATAACGGTGTAAGATCTGTTGCATGATACAAGGTCAAACAGCTATTTACCCAAATATTTTGCCAAAAGTGGCCAGTAGCTAACATGGGAGAGCATAACCAGTAAGTTTAGAATTTCTTCTCTGCCTGTGCCATTAGCTGCTTAAGAGACTTTCTGGTGAAGGGCTGTAGTCAGCCCACTGTGCTTAACAACCTCCAAGAAAGCTCTCCTTCATGAACTTGTTGGGTTGTATGCTGAGAGAAGAACTAATTTATTCTCTTAGCCTCCACGATGCCCATGGGCAGTGGGCTCCACAGTTTAAACAAGCAATGAGTAGGGGAAGAAAAGCTTCATTTTCTTTGCTTAGATGTATGCTATAAGAAATGGTATCTAGACCTTCTTCATGCACTTCTGTTTCTCATGGTCTCTTCCAGTTGAACAGTGAGAGCAAAGGGTTTTTTTGGTTTGTTTGTTTTTAATTGCTGGCTTACACTTGAGGAAAACTTGAGTTCAAGCAATACTGTGGGCTGCTTTTGGACTGTTTGAGCTGTCTGGTGCTTCCAATCCCACTCTTGTGCTTTCTGGACCTGTTCCCTGAGGCAGAGTGAGAGACTGGAAAGGAATGTGGGGGTGATGGAGGAGTATGAAATGCTTTGATCGCATAAGTGTGTCTTGAAACAATACATCCATGTTAGCAATGATATGGGCCTTCTCCGAGCTCTGCATAGCTCTCCAGCCACAAAGGTCAGAAAAGAGGCAGTATTTCCCTCGTAGGAAGAGAGAGGCTTCTAACTCATCTACCACATATGCTCAAGTTCCCCTGTGAGTGCCTAGCAAGCCTGGATGCGTCATGGTGGGACCTCACCCTGGTCTTCCTTCTGCGCTGGATTCATGTGTGCCAATCCTGGCTCCTGAGCCTGACTCATGATCCTCAGTCCTGCCAGAGCTGATGAGCACAGTCCTGCTCATCAGTGTCACCAAGCATCAGTGACAAGGGGTCACTGCCAAAAGTGGCCACAATGGGTCACTGATGCTGTTTTAAAAAAAAAAAAAAAAAAAAGTGTAAATATGTCCAGAGGCTGTGTGACGGGGCTGCAACAACTTTATTGTGAGGTGGGGATAGCTCTGAATTAGGAAGGTTTTTCAAAGGAAAGATGTCCTTGTAAAGTCAGTATTTAAGATGTTCTCTGGTCTGGCATCATGATGATGTCACGATCCCAGGACAAGGGTGGGTTTTTTTTGTTTGTTTGTTTCTTGGTCCAAGCTTGAGTGCCAAATACGTTTTCAATGAAAATACATGTCCCTGAAACTTCAGTAAAGTTCAAAGAAGGTGCTTAGAAATAAACGAGGCACAATCTGATGGTACTGTGTCTCTCATGAGTGTGGCTGCCACTCCCACGTGGGGATCTTGGTCCTGAATCAAAGCCATATGAGAGAAAAAAAATGGAGGAATGAACTGCGAGTCAGATAGACCTGACTCACCTGTGAAGCTGAGGTGTCCTTTGAGACACGCTTTTGTTTCCTCATGTACAAAAATAATGGGAAGCACCATGCTCAACCATGTTACATGAACATTGTGAGCATGGGTTAGTTCACGTCAGTTAAATGTTTTGGACATGGCAAAATATTACAGATCTGTGATATTTTATAGGTTTGCTGTGGTCTTTGCACTTTCCAGGTCAGTGAAGAACCTGTGGCAGCAGAATGTTGTGCTGGAGGTAATTTCCCTTTCTGGATAAAAACAGTGGGGTTGCATGCTGGGGAGAGGTTGATGTTTAACTTTGCCTTTGCTTACATGGTTAGATGGTTTCAGCTTTCTGGGCTGAGACAGAAGATATCAAAGAAGTAAGGGACATTTCTCTTGGCAAGTTGGGCAGTGTCCGAAAGATCTGGAGGGAAAAAGTTCTGTATTTTTGCATATCCTTTTAAACTCAGGTTGTAAAGTAATTTAATGATCTCCTGGCTCACCTGACACCTGATAAAGCCTTTCCCACCATATAGGGCTGAGCTGTGTCACCGGTGATGGACGTTGGCGAAGGACTGGAACATCACCCAGGGCACTGCAGGAACCCTTGGGCTAAGCAGCTGAAACAGGCCAGCTGAAAGCAAGAAGGGTCCTCTTGCGTGGGGTGTAGAAGCACGTCCAGGAAATTTATTTGCCCAGGTTTTGTGTATTTCTGAGAACTCTAATGGATACAGAACATGGATCAGAGCTGCACTGGGGACCCCCTCTAGCATTTGTGCTGAGAAGGTCTAGGGTCTGTCTTAGCTATGTAGCTGGGAGGATTCCATCTTCAGTCCCCTCCAGATATTTCCGTTGTCTGTGTCCCTATTGCAGGCTGTGGAAGGAAGCATGAGGCTGCCTGTGGTCACATAGTGCCTGGCTTTGCCATGGCAGGAGAAGCTGTGCCTCTGGCTCCTGAAGGAGGCAGAGATGCTCACCCATCAATAAGAAAAGTGACTCGCTCATCAAGGTTTGGCCACCTGGAAATGCAGTTGTGGCTGCTGATAAAATCCCCTTTGAAAGGCCAAGTCTGTTTGGAGACAGCTGGCTAAGTCTCCATTAAACATTTACCAAGTGTCTAAAGGGCAGGATCAGAGCACAGGATCTAGTGTGCAAGAGGATGTGGGATGCCAGTGCCCCAGTTGTCTCCCAGGAAGAGGTAAATAATTCCCTCACCTGCTGAGTCTGTTGCAAGGGTGACATCTCCATCATACCCAGATCCTCAGATCCCACATCTGGCTCAGAAAGCCCTTGCACAGATCCCTGGAGTCAGGGCGACAGTTTGGGTGTCAGTGCAGGCTCTACTCATATGCGCCTTCCCAATGCATCTATCTGATGTAGCTGGTATCATGGGCAGGAGCTGGACTGGCTGCTGGTTTGTCCCAAGCAGACTAGTCTTGCAAAGTCAACAGTAATTTTGCTGAGGATGCCACTGAAAGGGAACACAGTAAGAGGTCAGCTTAACTAGGTAATTGTTGTAATCTTCATACTGTTTCTTAGAGGATGCCAAAGAGAGTTTTGGCCAGAGCCCCTCATGAATCTCACCAGTTAAAAACAAAGAGAACATATGCTACCAAATTTAAGGAGAAGCAACAGTAAACTTGTCTCTAGCCTTAATGGGAGAAGGTCTCTTTATCTTTCTCTATGCAATTCCACACTCTCTTGGACTGGGATTGGGTTGTGAGATTCTGTCATGACCTTTCTGAGCAGAGAGTCATGGACTCTGGATGAGGACCCACTGTGGTGCATGAAGCATCACGGCAGTGCCAAGCTGTATCTCACAGGCTGGCTGGATGGGGAGCAGCATAAACTAGGGAGTTTGGGAGTCAACAAGGCACCCAACCCATATGCTTCCTCTTGACATACCATCACTGTGCGGGGAAATTTTGTGATTTCATTTTTCCATTTCTCACTGTCCTTTTAGGTTGCCCAGGAAGTAGGAGAGTGGCTATTTCCTTGCATCTTCTCTTCAGCTATCCCACAGCCATTCCCTCCTGAAGGTCACCTCACCATGGCCCAGAACGCCAGGACAAGGCCGTCATGCCCCAGAGGTTCCCTGGCCGTGCCGATTTCACCTTCCCCACTTCCCAGTCAATCATTGTCCCTCGCACGCCTCGCTGAAGGCAGCTCTGCGGGGACTGGCGTTGGACTTTCAAACCACTTTCTGAGCTCATGTAGGGCTAGTGGGAAGAAGGACAGGTTTGGGGAGGCGGTGGGCTGTCCTGCTCTGCCGTGCTTCCCTTTCTCGGTCCGTCCCCAAGATCAGCGGGCAGCAACACCATGCAGCAGCAGCAGCAGCTCCGGCAGCTCCTGCTGGACTGGGAAGCGGGTCCTCCTACTGCTCTTGCCCTGCTCGGTGGCTCGATCGCAGCCCTGGCAGCCTGGAGGTGGCTAGGCGAGCAGCAGATCCAGCGGAAAATGGAAGAGGCTCGGAGGAGCCGGGATCGGGGTGTGAAAAAGATAGAGAAGGCTGTTCAGCAGTTCAGAGAGCAGGTAAGTTGCCCCTTGGCGGGTCTGGATCACACCAGGGTGGTCTGCTGATGTTGCTCTCCATCTCCTCACTCACTATAGCTTTTCTAATATGGAGTCCAGAGGAGATTTGCACTGGAAGGAAGGGAGATCACTGCTTTCCTCACAGTGGGTGAGATACAGGGAGGGTCTGTAGCCAGGGAAATGCGAATTACGCACTGGGAAGAGGTTTTGGACAACACAGATGATGAAGCACTGGACCTTCACCAACACAAATTCATGTTCTTTAAGGAAGTAGAAATGTCTGTTCATTCTATGAGTACAAGAAAAAAAAGTCTTCATAACTCCAAGTTTATTTAACTGTCCATACCCTTCCCCTATATCTCTGACTCCTTAAACCTTATTGAGGGCTCTCAGAGAATCTCCAAGAGCTTTTTCCAGGGATGAAAGGGAAGGAGGGAAGGCAAGGGAGGTCTCCCAGCCCCACAGACTGCCCAGGAGATATTTGGCCTGACTCAACACTAACAAAGCACAGGCATTGGTGTCCCTCTGGGAGCAACCAGGACGCAGCGGGGATGAATAAGGTAGGCACCCAACCCGCATGGATGGGGTGACAGATTCCTTCTGGGACATTGATTGTTATCTCCCTGCTCTGCTCTCTTCTGAGTATGTCATGGATAAACCCTCACATGTTTACATAGGTAATGTTCCTGTGCATAAAGCACATCAACTATAAGTGATATATACCTTTTATCAGCTTTTTTTTTTCTTTCAAATATAAAATTAAACTATAGAAAGAGCTGGTGGTAGAGCCCTGCCAGGCTTATTCATCTGAGCAGGCCCTACTGGCTTCTTTGGAGCTTGTCAGACCCAGATGTTTAGGTCAGACTGGGCTGACTCCAAAACTGACAGCACAGTGTCACCCACACAGAGGGATGAAGGGCCAACCTGAGACTTGTGTGCAAGGAATTCATTACCATCTCATTAGTGCTGGTGTTTGCACAGCTAAGATTACCTTTCAGTAGAGGGTAAGTGGCACAGTACATGGAGGAAAGCCCAGAAGCCCTGCCTCAAGTGCTGTCTTGGAGGTGCTGTCCTGGTGTCCCTTCTTTCTCGCCTTGCAGGTCTCCCGTGTCCAGAGTGCTGACATCTTGTCCCTGCCCCTGGTAGAGCTCGCCAGGAGACTGCGGGAAGGGTCTCTGTCCCCTGAGACAGTCCTCTACACCTACATAGAGAAGGTGAGAACCTATCCACAGCATGAAAGGCAAATCACTTACATTCCCCACACCATGGTGTGTGGGTTGGTGGTTGAGAGGACTTGCCAGAGCTGTTGATTATGACAAGTCTTTGATAGAGCAGATATCAGAAGAAAGATATTGAAAGAAAAGGCTGTCTCCTCAGCCAGCCCCCTCCTGGTTAGCCCTTTAAAGGATTTGACTTGGGATAATCTAGGGAGGGCTTGTCTGTCATACTAAACCACTAGTCCCTATGTTACAGATCCAGGTAGCTACTGAATGTGCCTAGATAACTACACTGGTCTTAACCAACACATCTTTCTCAACGTGTCCTGGCAAAGGCCCTGGAAGTGACCCAGCAGACGAACTGCTTGCGACATTTTATCCCAGAGTGTGAGGAGCAACTCCAGGAAATACGACGACGAAAGGAGAAAGGGCTGCTCTATGGCATTCCCGTCAGCATCAAGGATCACATTGGCCACAAGGTACTTCCTTTTGCGCCCACAAAACATCCCACGGGGATATAGGCTCGGGGTTAGAACATCCATTATGGATAACTCTGGGAGCAGGACGCTGGGTTTGATCCTGAGGCAATAGGTAAAGGAAGAATATCTGTGGATTTGCATCTGGGGCGGGTGAGGGAAACAGCATGAAAAGGAGCAAGGACTGCTTTAGGGGAAGTCTTACCCCGGCAAGTGCTTGGCAGCTCTTTACTACCATAGATTATCACTGGGACAAGGAGTCTTTGGCCCTTCCTGCAAGTGCACATGCAATAAGGAGCAGATTAGCCCCACAAACATGGTCACCAGGTCTTCCTTCACAAACTGCAGACTCCAGCTGCAGATGACCTGCACTCACCCTCTCCACTGTCATTTCTCTTCTTCTCAGGGACATCTGTCGACCTGCGGGCTTGTGCAGTTCTTGAATGCCCCAGTGCAAGAGGACAGCGTCCTAGTCCAAGTTCTGAAGAGACAGGGGGCCATCCCATTTGCACTTACCAACGTGCCACAGTCTCTCTTCAGGTAGTACCTCATTAGGAACCTCTTCTCTGGCTGTGTTTCTGAAGTTAAAACCCAGCCTGAAGGCCAGGGGACAGGCTCTCTGTATGATTCTTGAGATACTGACTGGCCAATTTCCCCCTCTCATCAGCTACCAACCATCCCAGTTCAGCAGAAAAGGGCTTTTATATAAGAGTTAGTGGAAAAGACTCACAAAGAAAGAAATCAAGTGAACTCATGTATGGGAGGGAGAACTGGCCTGTGTGTGCTTTCTCCACCGCAATGCACAGCAGACAGCTTGAATACAGCACTGGGACTCAGAGACCCTAGTTTGATTCCCTGCTCACCTCAGACCTCAGCCTGCACCTCCGTTCCCAACTCTTTCTGATGGGAATGAGCTGTGTCCCTAAGGGATGACAAGGAGGAAGGGGTTGGCTGTGCCCAGGCGCAGGGTAAGGGACAGTCAGAGAGGTGAAGGCATTAGGCTGCTGACAGTCTGCTTGCTGGTTTTCTTCTCTCCAGCTACGACTGCAGCAATGTCATCTTCGGCCAGACGCTGAACCCTCTCAACCACAAGAAGAGCCCTGGAGGCTCCTCCGGTGGTGAGGGAGCTCTGATTGCAGGGGGAGGCTCCATCCTGGGCTTTGGATCGGACATTGGTGGCAGCATCCGCCTGCCATCCAGCTTCTGTGGGCTGTGTGGGCTCAAACCCACAAGCGAAAGGCTCAGGTAGGTGCTGGGGCCTGCCCTGCCTGCTCTGCAAGGAGCCTCCAAACCCACGCTGCACCTCACAGCTCCTCCAAGCCCACATATTCCTTGTCCTGCACGCCCTATAGTCAAGGACAAACTGGGGCTGGTGCAGCAAACTAACAGGTCTGTCACATAGAACAGCAGTCCCTTGTCAAGGGATTGGGAATTCAGACTGAAAATCCCCCTGGTCATCCAGATCTCTTGAGATTATCTTACTAATAGTGAAATGACAGTATACTTTTTCTTTGTCCCCTCCCAGCTTGTCTGGAGCAAGTGGCCCAATCAACGGGATCCTGTCAGGTATGTGAATTTAGAATTGTTTTTCTATACATCACAAAGGCTGTGGAGAGCAGGAAGGGTGGAAGGAGAGGCCATGTTTGCTTGTGCCTGGACTCCTCATAGGGCAGCATGAAGCTTAGGCCTGGGTTCAGGATGCCCAGCTGTAGATTGCCACAGCTCCTTAGGGTCACCAGAGTGAAGTTACATCATCTCTAAGGCCTACTGTAGAAGCAGAAAGGCCGTATTCACTGTCTCTACTTTGTTTAACCTATGTGACTTCAGTTCAAGGATCAGCTCTTTATACGACAGGGCATGTAAAGTGGAGGACAACAACATCCTATTTTAATGGAGATGCTTAGACTTGTCTTAAGTACAATTGAAGGGTTGATGCCTCTTACAAACTTTGCTTTTGCAGAGGAAGCCCAGATCGATGGGCCAGCACAGAGGCAAACAGTGGTCCCCACAGTACACACAAGGTCTGCAATGACCAAGACCTGTCAGAAGGACCTCTAGATCATCCCACCTCATTGCCTCATCATCCCTTGCAGCCAACCTGGCCACACAGAGAAGAAATCAGTGTTTGATATACCTGCTTGCTTAAAGTGGATGTTGGTTCTTGTCTTCCTCCAGTTCCCGGTGCACTGGGGCCGATGGCGAGGGACGTGGACAGCCTGGCCCTGTGCATGAAAGCGCTGCTCTGCAAGGAGATGTTCCAGCTCGACCCCACGGTGCCCCCCATCCCCTTCAATGAGGAGGTGAGTCCTTAGTGACAGAGCCCTGGTCCTCTTGAGGGCGATTTCACGTCAAAACGTGAAGAGGTTGCTGTTTATTTCATGTTCTTAGGGGTGAGTCACAAGAAGTCTGAGGTGGAATTTCCCACTGTGGAATTACAAAGGCAGTAACGAACACCAGGTCATGGGACAGATGGAGGGATGGAGGGTCTGGTGTCCAGCCAGCTCCAAGGATCCCAAGGAAGAAGTACCTGCTCAGCATGCATATTTTTCAAGGGTCCATGCATATTTTTCAAGAGTCCACAAATCATTACAGTGTAACAACATTGTTAATTTTCTTTGAAGGCAGAAATCATAACTGTTAAAAGAAAAAGATTGGTTAACAAACAAAAAAAGTAATTCTTTTTGCCTCTCAGTTGTTGTACGGGTTATTGGACTGAAAAAGTCCAGCAAAGGGTGGGGAAGAGGATGGAGAGAAAGGAGAGTGCTGGACATTTGGAAAGGGAAACTTGTGGAAAACATAAGCAGCAGCTCTCTAACACCTGGACCTTCTATCCCCTTCTGTAGTGGGTTGAAGATGGGGACAGGTCTAGTCCAGTAAAACTGGAAGTTGCTAACT